TAGAAAAAGAGGGTAAAAAAAAAAAAAAAAAAAAAAGGTGTACAACAACAATGCCTCCGACTGAACTTTTTTTTTTTTTTTTCATATTGAGTATGTTGTGATATGAAAGGATCAACAGATGAAAAATAAAATCTCAGGATGAAGGGGTGATAAAGATGGAGACAGTTTGGGGGGGAAATGGCAAAGGTAACCAGATTGTTAGGAATGCATTGCCGTCGACAACCACATTACGTCCCCACTTGATACCTGCTTTCATTATTTTGAATGCATTCGAGTATGCAAGTGAACGTATTACTGTAATTTGGCTCGGCTGAGAATTCAGTACGTGATGGTTTGTGTGATGCCCCTTGAACAACCAAACAGAAATCTGAAACTAAATTCTTACGATGTGAAGATTTGTTGAGATCGTGGGTTGTACCCGGTGTTGTGGTCAGAGGATTGTTTAGGCAGCAATTTACGTCTCATGTTGACTGTGTGGTTTTCGATTCAATTGCGATTTTCAGGGCTAATACTCCTTTAGGAGGAGCCTCACTGGACTGTGTTAAAGCCCCAGTCAATCACGACCCCCTCATTGATCCCGCACCTTTGTGATTTATCACACTGTCTTTGAAGAGCGTGTTTAGCGATACGTTTGCACGGGTGCACATTTTGTGTTTTTACCTTGCATTGAATGACGCACGAGATGGATCGGCCTCCCCAGTGTGTGTGTGTGTGTGTGTGTGTGTGTGTTTGTGTGTGTGTGTGTGTGTGTGTGTGTGTACAGCCAGAGAAACAAGGCCCCCAGACTCACATTAACAGCTTGATATATTGCCGCTCCTTTGCTCCCACATAGGAGCGAAGGAAGGTGACAGCTCCGGTGGCCTTGCAGAATTCTTACGTCACCAAACAATTCCCCATTCAATTCCCATGTCTCGCTAAACACGTAAAACACATTTTGTTTTATGTTTTTCTAGTCGTTGCCGCTCACGAGCAGGTGTCTCATTATCCGGGCCAAAAACAAAAGTGCATCCAGTTGTTCTCCAGCTACAGGACAAGAAAGAAACCGTGCAGTGTGTGGGGCGTAGCATTTTGTAGCTCCTTAAAAATGTTCCTGAAGGAGGGATGTCTTGAAATGCAAGCGCAATTCCTCGCACTTGTCTAATTGATTCCCGCACAATATTTGTCATTCTCTGTCTCTCTCCCTCTCTCCAATCCCCGCGGTAAACATTGGTCTTATTGTTAATCCTGGGCATGTGGCCAATATTTATCAATCCATATGGAGACATGCCCGTTTGCTCTCCTCCTTCCATCTCATCAACTGTCCTTGTAGACTTCTCCCACCGTCTCCATGACCATGTCCTAAGTTATGTCCTTTGTCCCTACTTTCCTGCCATAGCTCCCTCCTCCCCTGGTGTCGACTCCACCCCTTTGCAGCGAACAGGAAGTCACGGCACGGGAACGGCAAACTACGGCCGTGGCGGGAGCAACAACTATGCCACGGTGGGACCGGGCTACACCACCAGCGGGGGAGGAGGCGACATGTACGGCTCGGACCCCTACGTGGCCGACCCTTACCGCACCCTGCAGTACTGCCCCTCGGTGGTCGAATCACCTTACAGCAAGTCTGGGCCCGCCTTGCCGCCAGAAGGCACCCTGCAGCGTTCGCCTTCTGTTGACTCCATTCAAAAGGACCCCAGGTAAGATCCCTCCATATCAAGTACAAATTTCAGAAAAACATAAAACAGATTTATATTTCTCTCAATACGCATCGGAAAAATATCCTGCAATCGATGATTGACAATGACACACGGCACGCTGAAGAGGAAAGCTTTGATACATCGAGTGTCAATAACCTTGAATGTGTTGTTGTGTTGAGCTGATGATTGACAAGAAAGTAGATGTAGACGCTATTTTCGTGCACGGTACAGAATGTTAGGAATACCTCCGCATTTGACTGGTTTTGTCAAAACATCAAATGTATGGGGAAAACGTTGACAGCTCAAATTTCTCGCTTGTTCTTTTTGTCAGTCCATGATAATCCCTCATTCTGCCTCATCTGATTGTATTGTGACTGCACTATGTGTTACATTTCTCTTTGCCAACGAGGTTAACTGGCTGCCTTGTCCAACTGCAGGCTTTCTTTTTCGATAATTGGATCAAGCTGAGCTTGCATGAAGTGCTAAATGGGTTATTGGCTGTTTAGAGACAAGGAATGACTTGACTGAAGGCAGCGTTTTTTTTTTTTTTTGTTTTTTAAGAGTGTGCTAATGCTCGTACAAGGAATCAATGTGTTTGGGGTTCTATATTTCCCGGTATGTATTTTGAATCCTAATGTGAGTGTGTGTTATGTGCGGCTGCTGGTGACGTTGTTAGGGCGCCATTACCAGCTGCAGAGGAGTGAGCGGGATGGAGTACAAGTGAGGACACAGAGTACTCACCAAGTCCTAATGGGTGAGGGGAGGAAAGGGAGGTGGGAGATTAAGTGGATAAGGGGTGGAAAGGAGAAAGGAGAAAGCAAGTGAGAAACGGGTGAAGATGAAGCCGGAAGCAGAGGCGTTAGGTAAGCAAAGGGTGAGAGGAAGGGATAAAGAAGCACCCTGAAAAGGATGGGGTGGCAAATAGAGTAAGACGGGGGATTTGGTGAAGAGGAAAGTGGCTCAAAGTGCATACACTCATTTCGAGTAGTGGTTTTATAAGTTAGATTAGTGGGTGCCCAAATGTGTTCTTTTCTTTGTGGTTCCCTTAAAGCCCCAGAAGAAGTAAAGGCAGTCAATAAAGGAAAACAAATAAGGGGTGGCCACTAAGGAAGGAAAATACACACAAGAGTTTGATTAAGAAGAGCGAAGGAAGAAGAAACAAGGAGTGAGGCACTGTGGGTGGGGTGTGTGAGGAAGAACAAGGGGGAGAGGAACATTAGCTCAGGGAGAGTGGGAATTAGGGACCACTAAGGTGGAAGAGGTGGGTGTGGATGGTTATTGTTGCAAAGCTTAAGAGCTCAAGAGAAGCACAGGTGTCTTGCAAACATCTTGAACGAGGTTGTGTGTGTGTGTGTGGGGGGGGGGGAGGACTTTGGCCAAGTGAGATGCGGATTGATGGGAAAGCAAATGGAAGCTGTTGCAACACAGTGCTCAAAAACAAGACCGCCATCTATTGTTTCTCCCATGTGTTTGCTTTACTCCACTCTTATACAAGACCCAGTAAGCCCGCAGCATTCTTCCGGGGACAACACATACATGCCTTTCCATTGATGTTATTTATATTAGCTAACGATTTTTAAGGGTACAACAAAATAACATACTGTGTCAAAATACAACGCACGCGGGCATGCACAGATGCACGTATGTGTGTGTACACACACACACACACACACACACACACACACACACACACACACACACACACACACACACACACACATTGGTGGATTGGATATATTTTGCTTATGGATGAGTTTACAGATGGGACAGCTGCTTTCGATGGAAATGAAGGCAGTGGCAAGCTGAGTGTACACTGCGTTTGTATGTGTGACAGGTTCTTGACCACAGGATTATCTGCAAACTGGGGATTCCGCAGCCGCATAAGTGAAAGAACCTGTCACTGCACTGTTTACGACACCGTAGCTGGGGATTACTATTGTCTCAAGTGCAGAGAGATTTCTTGTTACCTCATAAACTGTGGCTACTGGCTACTTGCCACACTTTCTGTTCTCTATTTGAAGGGTTTTCAGAGTTTTTGCAGTAATACTACGGTACAGAATTATTACGGAATTATTCAGCAAATATGCAGGAGTAACTTTTGATGAATGTATTTTGAGAGCACTTTGGTGCGAGTGCAATTTTTGGAACGTTAACGGAAAGGATAGGGATCTAATAATACATGAAAACGATGCATTGCCGTTTTTATTTTAAAATTTGTCAACTGTGTGGTTTGCTAGCTTAAAGTATGCGGCTCCATTAGGAAATTATGAAGGTGACGTTTTTATTTGAAAAGAGCTTCTGTTGCAGTGTGCTTTGCAACCAACCTGGAAGCAGTTGCAGCACCATGGAGAGCACCACGCGGTGACTGTTTCATTAGGACCAAGGACAGCGTCTAAAAACTAATGAGGGTGTATAGAATTGCAGCCAATAGTACCAGTTATGGTAAAATATGAACGTATTTTACATTAAACACAAAAATAGGTTGTTTTACTCCCAAAGTTTCATTTTGCTTTGTGATTTTTTTCATCTGACGAAATTAGTTTTCTGTGCTTAATGGTGTTAGGCCTGTGGATGCCTATGTCATTAACAAAGTGTTAAATGCGCTTGCACCCCCACCCTTGGATAAATTCAGAGGAGAAACAGTGAAGGATTGAGAACTCGGGCCTTGGTGAGAGGTGATTGCAATATAACCAGATGTAGAACGAGGTACGGTCAAATGATCACCTCCGTAAGAGGAACGCAATCCTGGAATAAGTTGCCAATACACATTAGAGACTGCGATAATTTAAACACCGTTTCCAGACTCCAGCCCGTTCCAGTGGGCTTCTAGCCAGCCAATTCGTAGTTCGAAGTGATTTGTCTGTCCTGGTCTTTTGTCTTGTAATTGAGTACTGCAACTGCTTGTATTGTTTCTTTCATGACCTATTTGGTGTTTATTTGTGTCATTGTGCTCTTAAAGTATATGTGTCTCACTGTGTTATTTTAGAAACCTACCTTGGGACTACGTCTGAAAACTAGCATTTATGCTAAGTCCGGCACATTTACACTGTTTATTCTTGTGTTGGTTAATGTGCACTGTCCCAAGTGAATAAATCAATCAATAAATAAATACATACATACATAAATAAAAAGGCGTTTCATGATGCATTCTTGGTCAAAAGATTAGGAACTCAAAATTCAAACCTTGCCATGAGTAAATGACGAAAGGACTGCAGGCTGAAAGGAAACGAAATACTATCGGGTTGGGCAATTAAAATGATCGAGGGATCACAATTTGTCATCGGTGCTTAGGAGAAAGAGAGAGCGAGAGCGAGGTGTGATGGGTGGATGGGCCAGTAAATGCATACTTTGTCACAGTCCCAAAGTGAGGGAGGGATTGACAGAGAAAGGAAAACAGGGAGAGAATATCGAGGAGAGGACACACACACTTTTGCCTCTCAACATGGCCCCTGGGTAATTTCCACTCCACACGAGAAATGCATGCTGGGATATGGTATCACCTCCAGGGGAGGGTAATGATGCCTTGCCAGAACCTCGGCCCCGAGGCACAGCTGTACGTGCGTGTGATGGTGCGCCAGGGGGTGCGAGTGCATGTGCAGCTGTGGCTTGGTCGTCGCCCCTGCCTCTTCGGAGTAAATTGCCTATTGTCGTCATTTTCCTTTTTGGAAGTGGCCTATCTATTTGTGTGCGTGTTTGGGGGATGTGTTTGGTTGACCTTGGAATGAAAACAAATGGCTGGGTCTCCGCCTCCATCTTTTTTCCTCTGGTCTTCCCTCTGGATCTGACGACTGGCTATTCGGAATAACTTGTAATCGTAATTTTCGGCGCATGACACAATCTCACTTATTCATTTCTGTCTTCCAAATCTATCATAGCCATGCGCTCACGCTATACGTCATCACCGCCGTCATTTGCAGCACGGCGTCGCCGTCTGAAGCTTTTGGCGAATGGTGGCGCCCTCTGCGATTCGCCTTGCCGTCTTACTGCTCGAGTGTGAACTAACGAGCGGAGCAGGTGCACGAGCCACACACCCGTCGATGAGTTTTCTGTCCCTTTTGCGTCATTTCACTGTTTTTATCTTCAGCTCACACAAGTGCCTGTGGGTAATGCCGAAATATTAACACTCACACGGCACCCATTGTTCTATTATAACAGCAATTAAGAGAGTGAGAGAGAGAGAGAGAGAGAGAGAGAGAGATTTTTTAATTTCATCAAGTCAAAACATTTGAATTTACCATCTCTCTCTACTGGCAGCAGGCTTGTCACCTTGGCGTGCACGTGCATGAATAAGAGAGGTAATAAGCTTGAAAAAGAGCAGTAAATCAACACCACTGACTAAGTGTTTGACTGTGCAATAAATATATGTTACTGTGATGAGACTCTGCCAGATGATTATTGCATTACTCCCCATTACTCCCTCGCGCGCGCACACACATTCGGTCCAGGCCAGGTGACCATAATGACTGCGTAATCCAGTGCAATTCTACAGCGCCGCCACAAATCACAACCTTTACAATGAGCACTAAAATACATTAAGACCTCCCTCTGTCAAACATTGTAAAGCATAGCCGCTTTTACCGCGCCTGTGCGCTGGATTGGTGCATCTGTCGCTGCGGCGCACGGCAGCGCAGGCTCACCGTAAACGCATCATTAGATGCCAGTGACAGCATGCAGGACCTTGACAGTGGTAGCCTTGCGTTAAACTTCACACCCTTGCCATAGCTTGCCACTAGCCTGTTTCCGCAGGTGGCGTTCTACCTCTGTTATGCTTGCAATGCTACTGAAGCCCGGGAGTTTGCGGGTTGACTTCTTCAACCTTTTTGCACACAACAACTTTGATAGGGAGTGTCCAAGCGGCTCTCACAATCGTCATTGGAGGAGTTGTGATCCATTTAATCATACTTAATTTTCAAGTAAATATAGTACACATGCAGTAAGAGAGTTGGAATCAATACCGGGGCTCCAAAACAAATGTTGGGTTGAAAAAGAGCCCCGAAATG